CCCCCCCCCCCCCAGAACTCGCGAACGGTATATCGTAGGACCAGCAAATTTTTCAGAGGATGGTGTACTAGTAAAAATTTATCATATCTACAATTTTTATGTCGTTGTAACGGTTTATGTCGATGTCACGGCTTTTGTAAACAAAGCCGTGACATCGTATGAGCGTAACACTTCGTCAGACTCTAATCTTTGTTGCTGAATCTACAAATGTTGCGAGTTTACAATGCGATAAGGAGTTTGTCCAACCGAGAGTGATAAGATATCAGCTATTTATCTCGAGCTGCGATTTATGATAGAGTCAATACTACTTAACAAAAGGTCTGAGAGGTATTTCGTATGGAACTTTTGTAGACCTTTTGGCTAAGAAAGTCATATATTATATATCATAATACATTATATATATATATATATGATTTTTTCAAATCCTTCTTTCTAAATGTGGGAACAAGGAACGATTTGATTTTAATTATCAAGCAACATCTAGCTTTATATGCACTATGCACCAGTAAGCCTTTTCTGATTAACATGAAATGATGACTGACGGTCAACAAAACGACCTTAAAACAAAAGGTCTCTCAATCAAGAAGTTATAAAAAAATGCCTTTGTTATTAAATCATTCTTTAAATTAATCAAATTGTTTATTGACAGTCAGTATACAGTATTTTCTTGCAAATCATTTCCTATGAGTACAGCAATGCTGCCAGGGGTGTAGCAAAAGTTTAAAAATTTTAGTTTACCTGGCCATGATATTCAGAAGCATTTTTAATTGAACGTAGAACAATACATTATACGTTATAATTAATTTCTATTATTGTTTTATTTTAACATAAGGATCTTACCTTCCAAGAACAAAGATAACGATGTTCAAAAAAATGAACTGGTGGTTTTCATGGTGGTTGTGAAAGAAATGAAAGTCAATTCAGCATTGAAATTACCATGTTTAAAAGTAAAACCTTTTTACCCTTGATAAAGTAATTCTCTCACCTAGAGCGTTCGACCAGTCACCCGGGTCTTCGTCACTAGACTGAACCAGTAAGACGTGTCACACGCATTTTTGTCTCAAGCGGCGGACTCCCGCTGGTTGGTTTATTCAAGGAGATCATACACAGATAACGTCCTTGGTTTATTTCTTAAATTTTCTCTGTTAGAAAAACGGTGGGATTTTAGTTATAACGCTACCCATAGCTAAATGAACCAGGCGTTCCATAGATGGCATACTAGATTAGGTGCCCAGAGCTCTGTACAATGCATGTTTGATAAGGGAATCAAGCAAATACCCCGACCCCCGGAACCTCAACCCCATTGTCGAATGGAATCGCCCGCAAAGTGGGCGTGGCACGCGCGCGGAATGCAGGTCACCCATTGGTCGCCGCTAGGCTATGTGGATGCGAAATTGATCTAGGCCCCCCACCCCCGAAAAGGCGTCAGGGGTCAAATGACATTACGTAATGACTGATGACATCATCCCAGAATGACTTGCGGCTGGATTTTCTCATAATGGCGGCTATCGTCTGCTGATTCTACTCTAACTAGATAGTAATATTAGCGGTTGCTAATATAGACAGGTTTGCGTTGTAGTCGTTGTAGTGTAAGTTACAATATGTTTTTTGTGTGTGCTTTACCTTTTACAGAGTTCCTTCTCATCCTTTTCTAATCCCCACTTACCTTGTAAATAATTTCCTCATCAATATAACAAAAGAACAATAGTTACACCCAAAACAAAATTTCAATTCTTTATGACTTCTCTATGCCCCATGACCTTCAACCTTTTGAGGGTCATACAGGCGTCAACAGCGCCCTCCCCAAGCCTTGCCCGTCCGTTTTCGTGGGCAAATTTCTGCTTCCTTAGAGGTTTTGAAACCTAAAAAATCACACCAGGGGAGAAATAAACCACATACGTTATTTTCATGGTCCGATTCTGAGTCCACTAAAATCAAGGAGGGTTTGTGCAGTTACGTCTAGACGTGTCTGACAGGCATGACATTGGGCTTAACCTCAGGTCGCTACGTTAGCGGTGTGATTGATAATAGTTCGCCTCTGTCTAATCTGAGGTCAATTAAATTAAAAGACAAGCGGCTTTTCACTGTGTGAACCGTGGGTATTGTACATACAATATATTTTATAGCGGGGTAGAACTTGTGTGTGCTGCGACCACTGCGGCCAACCCTTGCTCCCACGCTACTTCTAACCCATAGTGGGGAGGCGTTAGGCGGGAGTTCGAGCCCCAGTGTTGACAAATGAATTCGTAAAATTAAGGCTAAGTAAACTCCTAGCCTGACTAAATCTGCGCTCCTGGCGGCCGGCCCGGTATTACACCAGTCAATACCGGGCCGGCCGCTAGGGGCGCAGATTTAGTCAGGTTAAACTAAGTAAACTCCTCACTATCTCCAATTACCAATAGAAATTGCTCCTGGACGTCGACGCCGCTCCCTGATAAGGAATAATTTGCCCGGACAGAGCTACTGTTAATAAGTTATACATACCTTACTATTAATCATATATATTCCGGTCATGTACAAAGAGGAATTGACATGGTACCTTTAAATTTCAGGTCGTCTTCATGCAATGCTTCTCAAGTTTTCACAAACATAATTTGCAAGGCGTTATACTGTACGGATTTCCCTTCGATGTACAAAGTAAACTGGAATAGCTTGTAAAATGTGCCCTATCCGTCATAGTAGATCCAGGCCAGATGTTTGTCCTTGAGCGCGATGATCGCAGTTCTGCTGTTCAAGGCCGTGTGAAAAGGCACGTTGTTGGGGATGATACAATAACGCTAGCAGGGGAGTATTGTTCCTGTAGAAAGGGTGGGATTTCCCGGCAATAAGACTATAGTTTTTATACTGGTTGTAGGCTCATGATCACGAGACCATGTCTAGAGTATGCGGACATCGTTTGGGCAGGTAGCATTAGACAAAACCAAAGGTCCTTGGATTCTGTCCAGTACCAAACCGCCTGGCTAATTGGGCCAAACAATCTTCTTCCATAGAGCCACTTTGCTTCGGAACACGCTACCTCCCAATGCCGCACAGCTCCCACTATTACCTGCTTCAAAACAAAACTCCAGACCTCATTTGGAGATCCATACATGGTGGATTCTGACTCTGCCCTCCCGATGTAAATACTACTCTTTTTAGTACACCTTAGCTTAAAGTTATGCATTTATGTATAGTAAATCCTATAGATGTAATGAGTTCATTATTTTTATTGTAATGTCCTGTACTCATCTTATGTAGCTTGTATGTCCCTTGTCACCCGGGGTTAGCCCTTTAAAATACATGTAGTTGGACAGCCCTGGCTGTTCTTTGTACAGCTGAACCAATTAATGTAGGCTTTATATTTAATAGAGAACACTTTAATAGCTCGGCGTACCGGCAAAATTTGCAGGAAATAACGTTTCACTTTAGTTGAGTGTGCCCCTCAACCCCATAGATTCGTCGAGTCTTCGATATATTTTTTTTCATGAATGACAAAGAGGCAAGTGACTATATGTCAATTCTTATTGTCATCCACGTATGGCATACACGGACATGAAAGCATATCCTTGGTGATTATGACAAAGCCAATACCGGAAACGCACATAACGAACTGTCCCCATTTTTCGTAAGAGTCTATTAGACGTAAATTCGTTATTGAAGTTGACGGCTGCAAATTAGAGGTAGGAGATCGGGTCGCGCAGTTGGCTGACCTGAAGGCAAGGCTAGCTTCCGTTGAGTTGACACGCCGAGCCTCGGGTCATCCCACAAGTGTATAGTATGTCGTGGAAAAATGTTCGGTGGCAAGGCAGTATCCATTGGCCAGACGAGTGTCCATGGTTGCCACTGTATGATCTGATTGGAGATTGCGCATCCAGGCTACAAGATCTGATGAAAACCACAATGGGTCCGGGACAGATGAAACGATACGTATCTCTCATCGGGTAGCTTCCTTATGTTATGGTCATGTTTAGAAACGGCTTCCGGTCGATCGGTTTTCGGGAACGAAAAGTATGATATAGCAAACGATAAGACGCGATCAAGAAACAGGCCAGAGTTTTGCATCAGAAGTCAACTTCATTTCTCTAGTATCTGTTACATATAATTAAAATGTTAAAAGATAATTTCATACGAGCATGGCTTGTAGTGTTAATGATGATTTAAGACCAAAATTTTAGTGACATTTGGACAGCTTTAGGCACCAAAGCTTGCCACGAACGGATCGCGACCCCACAAACCGTAAGATGATGTTTAAATTACAAATATACTGGACTGTCTCATTTTCTCCAGCAATACAGTTTGTGTCTGTGTAAGGAAACCCCCCCCCCCCGATTGTACGCTATCTGGACATTGTGACTGACATGTTTTCGCAAAGTTGTGTTCCACATCCCTTCTGTAATTACACTTACAAATATACTCGACTGTCTCATTTTCTCCAGCAATACAGTTTGTGTCTGTGTAAGGAACACCCCCCCCCCCGATTGTACGCTATCTGGACATTGTGACTGACCAGCCGATACACATACCATATATAGTAACTACTTACTAACGGTGACCACCGTTATATAGTAACTAATAAGCTAAGAGGCTCTCTTCACCTCCTAGGATGTGACCGTTATTAGTAACCTCACTGCTTTACTATAGAAAATAAACGGTCGGGTGTAGTCCTCGCGAGAGTTGTAAAATCCGTCGCGAGATAATGCGAGACTAGACTTGCGGTTGGTTGCCGGCTTGGCTGAAATGGACGACAGACGGGACGGCCTAGCGATTTATATTTTCTCTTCATCTCTACTCTGACCTGGACCAATTCCTGGACCATTTATAGGCTACATATTCTGCAGGTTAGTCACTAGCTCACTGGACTCTCAGTCCTTGTTGTTTAAGTGCTAAATCCGCGTTGCGTTGAGGCACGACTGGACTGTTTTCTCTTCTTCGCAAATAGCCAGTGAATATGTTTGGATATGTGGCTAGCAGCCAAAAGAAGATTTCAGTAGTCAAATATCAACTGCCTATGTAATACATTTGATTTGGTAATGGTATATACGTATACGTAGGTGTGTGTCTGAATGTGTATTGGGGGTGGGGGGCGGCGATTCAAATGTACGCGCGCCCGGGTGATTCCATTCCAGAATGGGGTTGGGCAGCTACTCTCCAAGCAGAGGTTTGGGTTTTGGGGGGTATTTCTAGCGTGTTTTAGGCTTTTTTATCGGGGTTTCTCTTTTGCACTGAATTTTTTTCCCACCAAAGTTTGAAAACACGCTAAAAATACCCCCAAAACCCAAACCTCTGCTTGGATAGTATTGGGCAGCATCAAACTACTAGTACATGTATAATATATACGTTACACTGTAACTTGACTAGATGTAGTATTATCAAGGAGCATGTAGTATTATCAAGGAGTATTATCATTGACCATACATGTCACTAAGACAGCATTAGTTTGATTACGGGTTACTATTTCCCTATACACATGTATCTAAATAGAAAATAGAACATTGAATGTTTTTTTAAATTCAAAATTCATGTATTTTGTCATAAAACAGATTCATGAGTTGCATTTTATTTCATGTTTCTTTGACCCTCATTCTGTTTATGCTAAACAGAGTTGTTACTCCCTAGTTATTAATTAAAGGGAAAGGATAAAGTCATTTCTCACCACTCATTATCATCCCCCATCAGGCATATTTTACTTCCATAACTATCCTCATCAAATTGGTACTGTGTTGTGGTGTTATCCAAAGTTATACTATTAGCCTACAAAAAGGGAAAGCACTTTTTTTTTACTGTAATATACTAATACATTGAAACACAATTCACTGTATTCAAGAGTTCATCAATCAAAGCAAGAAAAAGCATTGTGGATGTTTTAAAAAAGATCTACAACCTATTATATGTATGGCACTTACGAGGCTGATGTATCAGTAACTGACCCTGATAAAGGTAGTTTTGGAGTTACTGAAATGTCATGATGTGTAAATTGATACGTACCTACATGTATTTACCATGCGCATATGTATATTTGACATATGACATATGTATAT